TTTATTCCAGGAAGTTCTACTACTACCAATCTTTTAGTTTTACAAGAATTTTTGTTGGATGCTCTTGAAAGGTATGACCAAGTTGATACCGACTTTTCGAAGACATTCGATAGAGTTAAACATACTGTCCCAATTTCTAAACTTTATAATGCTGGTTTACATGGAAGATTATTAGGCTGGATGAAGAGCTATCTCACAGATAGAACTCAAGTTGTAAAAATTAATTAATTTTTGTCATCTAGTATCAATGTAACATCTGGTGTTCCACAGGGTGGACATTTATCTCCTCTGATTTTTAATTGTTTTGTAAATGATAAAAAAAGTTGTTTTTATAATAGTAATATTCTTCTCTATGCTGATGATTTAAAGATTTTTAGTATGTATATAAAAATCACAGAATGATTTAAGTAATTTATTGGATTGGTGTAACTTAAATGCTTTGAATTTAAACATAAATAAATGTAAGGTAATGCGATTTTTTAGAAACAAACATCCGATTTCATTTGAATACCATATTGGATAAGTGCTATGTTTGGTTTGTACTTTTGTATAGTGCAGAAGTGTGGACGCTAAAAGTATCGATCATGAACAAAATTGAAGCATTGGAAATATGGATTCATAGACTAATGCTGAAGATACCTTGGACAGCAAGGAAAACTAATGAAGAAGTACTAAGGAGCGTCAACAAACTGCTAAAGACTGTTAAACATCGAAAAATGTCGTATCTGGGACATATAGTAAGGGGAAGTCGATATAAAATATTACAACTGATCCTTAAAGGCAAAATATAGGGCCGTAGAGGTGTAGGAAGAAAACAAGTTTCTTGGTTAAAGAACATTCGTGAATGGACTCAGATAGGACAATTATGCGGGACAAAAATGCAGGACAATTATTCCATATTGCAGTCTTCGCAATGGTGATCGAAAATATCGGATAATTCTGATATGGCACGCGAACAAGAAGACCATATTGGACCGAATATTATAGAGGTAATCACATCATTTAAGGATCTTGGGGTAATTTTTGACCCTAAAGTAAGCTTCGGGGACCACTTTTCTTACGTTTCCAATAGATCCATGAAACTTTTAGGTTTCATGGAAAATAGCCTCTCTGAATTTGAAATTTATTGTCTCAAAAAAATTTACTGTTTGCTTATTACATCGGTTTTGGAATAGGGTAACAATATTAGGTCTCCTCATTATACATTATACACTTTAAAAAAACTGTATTCTAATTACACTGTAAATTGATCTGCTCCATAAATATGTATTTGTTTTATGGTTTAAACTGGCCAAAAAATTCCAATTTTTTGACAAGTTGAAATTGAAATTGTATATAACTAAATTCCTAGAAAATTTTAAGTGTAACTAGCTGTTTGATTGAATAACTTTGATGTTAAATCCTTTCCTTACTACAAAAAGTTGATGAACAAAATTAAATAGTGACAATAAAAACTTAATGTGCTGATAAGATAAAGTGGTTCTGAGATTGTGATTATAGTTCAGGAAGTTTTCTATATTTGCTCTATATTTTAATAAATAAAATGGATACATGCGCCGAGTGTAATACCCAATTCGACTTAAATCAAGTTTTTGCTTATGATGGATGCAGAACTGTGCTTTGTATGGAATGTGGTAATCTAACAGCATCTGAAGTTAAATGCATGCAGTTTAAAACGAAACGTAAACTAAAGATTTTCTGTGAACAGTGCGAAGTTGGATTTCACAAGGTACCAGCTCTGTTAAAAGAAGTGAGTGAGCTTAAGGCCATTCCTCGCGATTATGGGCATAACTAATTCCAATGTAAAAGTTTATATCAAATAACGCAAAAACTGTGGCAGATATTGAGATGATTCTTTTTTTATATGAAAGGTCTTAAAAAGTTCTAGTGCACTATTTGGTTGTAAATTAATAAATTGTTTAAACAATATTTTTTTTTAATATTTTTGGTTAAAATAAACGTAAAATTTTTTTTTGAAATAGGGCACTACAGAATTTTACCCACTTTCCGAATCTGTTTTTATTTTTAACATAAAGTGTAACACAAAGCAGCTATTTCATATAGAATATTTAAAAAATGTTAAATTGTGCTATAAGAAAGTATAAATAAAATTCTACATAAGGAAAATATCGCATCTGTTGCACCATATATGGAGGATATTATTTCCGAAATGCTGAAGAGGCAAAATAGGGCTTTTAATATAATTATATATAATGTTAATGAATCTGTTAAAAATAATCAATTGGATCAAACTGCAGTGGACAAACAAGCGGTACTAAATATTTTGACTGATTTTAATATTAACAAAAATAATGATAAACTATTTAGATTGGGAAAATTTGCTAACAGAACGAGACCCATTAAAGTAGTATTAAATACAGCTGAAGATGCTAAAACTGTTGTCAAAAATAAAAGATTAATTAAAGTGCCCGATGTCAGAATTTCCCTGGATGAAACAAAAGCCCAGCAAGAGTATTTCAAGAAAATCAGATTACAATTAGATGATATGGTTAAGAATGGTGATAATTCTAATACAATCAAATTCATTAATAATATGCCTACAATACTGAAAAAAACTCTCTCAGTTAAGGGACTCTATGCTACTAAATAATTATGATATTGTTATTTTGATTGAATCGTGTCTATCTGAAAAGTTTTTGGTTAGTTCAATTATAGACTCATCTATTACATTATGCCTAATGTTTATAGACAGGATCGCTATCAGCATGGATTGGACATTGTGGGCGGAGGAGTGTATATTGCAATCAAGAAAAACCTACCCTCTAAACTAATATGCAAGTCAAATTTGTTTAACATAGAACAACTTTTTGTGGAAGTTAAACTAAATGATGATCAGCTTAGAATAGGAGGAATCTATATACCACCTAGGTCATTAGCTGAGGCATATGAATTTCACTGCACCTTTCTTGAGGAACTGATAAGTCAACATCCACAGAGTTCTGTGATCTTGGCTAGCGATTACAACCTGAGAGATGCTCAATGGGCTAATGATCAAAACGGGGTTTATTTATCTACCATACTTCCTGATGGATCTCGTGCGAATACATTATGTGGATCTTTTGCATTTTTAAATCTCCATCAGTGCAATAATATACCAAACAGACATGGAACATTCCTGGATTTCATTTTTTCACATATATCCTGTCCAAAGCATTAAGATAAATGGTTGAAAAGGTCATTAAGAATTCAAAATTTCTGAACTTTGCTGATGATAAAAAAATTTATAAAGTCATTACTTGTCAGTAGGATCAAATTCAGTTACAAGAGGATCTCAGCAGATTTAGCGATTGGTGCAAACTAAATGATTTAAAATTGAACATTGATAAGTGTTGGGTTATTACTTTTCACAGAAAGCAAACAATTTTAAATTACGATTGTAGCATTGATAACACTTAGCTGTCAAGCCAGGACTGTGTTAAGGATTTAGGTGTTTATTTTGATTGTAAATTAACATTTCGTAATCATCTAGAGGTCACAGTAAACAGTGCATTTAAACAATTAGGGTTTATAACTAAAAACACTTCTCAGTTTTCATGTTTTGTTTTACCAATTCTTTTTAATAGTCTCATTTGCTCGAGACTAGAATATGCAATAGTTGTATGGGGACCTTACTATCAAACCTCTATAGACAAGCTTGATCGTGTTCAGCATAAATTTGGTAAACACTATCATTACCGTAGTGCTTTTCATGACCTTAGTATGATAGGTTAACTTAAAAATGGTTACTATGAATCGGCGGAAAGATTATTTTTGCCTAATATTCCTTAACAAAATTGTTAATATTTTGATAAATTGCCCTGAACTTTTAAATCGATTAGGTCTTAACACTCTTCATGAAACTGGACATACTTCATTATTTCATCTGCTATTTCATCAATTTAATTATGAATACTTCAAGCCTCTTACTCATATAGTGAGACTATATAATAGGTACCAAAGTGATCTGGACTTATTTTTCCTGTCCTTAGAACAATTTAAAAATGTGATAAGGAGACTGCCATTTGTGCAATATTAGTTTGTATTCAAGTTAATTATTAGTTTTTGTTAAATTTTACTAATTTTTTTTCAATGTTGTGCTTACTTTGTAAAATTTTATATATTATATGTTGTTCCAATGTAAAAATGGTATATCCGTTAATAAATAAATAAATAAATAAATATAAATGCTGCAAAGATATATTAGAAAGAGTATAAAAAGAGTTCTTAAGATTTTAAATTGAGAATACCTGTAAATGAAACTGAATACATTGTTTTGCAATCTTTACTTAAATTGCCAAAGGTGAATATTGCTAGATGTAGCATTTATAAATAAATTATTACGAGGAGGCATTAATGCTAGTGCTATTTTGGAAAAGGTTTACTTCCGTACTCCCTGTAGAGACGCCAGATCCCAAGACTTAGTTTATTTAGAATTTCATAATCGAACTTATACTGTAAATAAACCCTTACAGAGAATGTGTGGAAATAAATAAATATACAAATAAATTTAATAGTAATGATTTTGTTCATTTATAACTAAGTACTATTAAGAATAAGATCGAAAATACCTTTTTATGTAGGTAATCACAATGTGTTTTAATAGTGTAAGCTAAATTTAAGTTGATTTGTAAAAAAAATGGCAAGTCCGTAAATAAACATTACATTACAAGTAGGATTTCAAATAATATCCTATTAAAACCCGGTTGAAAATTACAAAAAAAATTTGTTCGGAAAGAGTAGGTACCTACAGAGCTTCCATAAAAAATTCTTGCTAGTTATACTAGTTAAGGAAATTAAAATTTAACGACTTTGGTTTGGGAAAATTTTGCTTGCACACCGAAATACAAAAAAATTATTTTAAGGAGATTGGGTGTTTATCTGTGCAATCGATATGAAGCAGCATAATTTTATTATCTTATATTTTATTGATACATCAGCAGTATGAGGTCAATTGTGAGGAACAGTTAAATAAAAAAAAAAAGAATAATAAAAATAAATACCTGAACTAGGGCGATCACTGTATCGGGTGCAGTAAACCCACGCAGGCCACAAAATAGGTTGCTTCTCATCTTTCTTCTCCTTTTCATCGGTTTTACTGAGGTCCACAGGACCGGACACTTTGGTCTCTTCCGCAGGTTCAGGAACTACCCTCTTAGGAACTATCTTTTTTATATGTAGAGGATCTGTTATCCTTCTACCAAAGTCCGCTTTTAAAATATTGTCTATTGAAAATTTTATACGGGGATTGTCGTCGTTATCAGAAACTTCTTTGAGGTTATGTTGGTTATATAAACGATTTGGATTAATATTTACATGTTCCGTGATTTTACTAAATGTTTTTGTATTTGTACTAATTTTTGGACTAGATTCTGAACTTACACTAGTAGAAATTTGAGATATGGCGTTCAAATGATTTTCGATATTTTTAAATGTTAAAGGTTCGCTATTACAGTCTTGATTGGGGTTCTCGTTGCCAACGGAGAGCACTGTATCGTCACTACAGCAACTACCATTGTCTATGTTAACAGAATCCCTGTCAAAATTATCACTAGAGTCCATTGATACTGAACCATCGGTGCTTTCCATGGTTTGTCGAGAAAAATGTAGCGGCTGCTGTACGAGATTGCTTGTAAGAGCCGCCATCTTGCACAAAATCACATTATACCTCACTAATTACAAATCAAAACCCTAATAAACAATTAATCCATAAAGCTCTTTCAAACAATAGATGTTCACTGCACGACACTCAGAGACTATCTGAGGTAGTGAAACTTGCAGAGGGCGGGGTTAAAGAGCAGTGGGCGTGTTAATAGGGCGGGTACAATGTTTGTGGGCGAATCAGCTAAAAGAAAATTTTGTTCCTCTTTGAATCTAAATTGGTTCTTCTCATATTTATGGCATGCTGGATGCACAGAGCGCCAATTATACTGCCTTAACGTTTCATCAATTGTAATGTTTATCCGTATGAGCGTTTTTGGAGTGATGTCTTGTTTTAAAGACATGGATAGTACTGATGCGGAGACAAACTTTTGTCATGTTTAAATGAGATTGATTATTGATTGACATGTCTTTTGTTAAATTTCAATGGGTACTTGGAATAAATGAATAGTAAATGATTTTGACATGAAACTATCAATCTAAGCTTTAGTCAGGCAATGTTGATATTAAGGTAGGACTAACTAAATCATGTTAAATATGAATCAGTTTCTATCCGTCGGATCGTGAAATTTTTACATCCTTTCATGCAGGAAAAAAAGTAAGTAGATTTAAAGAAAGGTATTTGCTTTACTGTTTATGCTGGACATCCGAATTCCATTATAGTATCAGAGAAAGTATTTTCCGTACTTTTTATTAAATTATCGGTACAATGACATTTCGTCAAAATCCAACTCCAATACTAATTTTTTTCATTCCATGTGTACGTTTATTGCAAAGCTGGTTTAACACCTAAACCATAGTATATAGAAATTTTTATTATCTGTTTACTATAAAATGTGTACAAGTTTTACATATCCCATGCCCAATAAAAACTGAACAAATTGGTACATACATCTAGGATTACTCTATGATTTTTTTATTTCTTGTCATTCCGATCTGTTGCTTGCTTTGTTTTTCCAATTAAACCTCTTAAGAGATCTTGTTCCAATACGTTTATATGGGGTGAAGACACAATTGATTGTAATAAAAATTACATTTTTAAATAATGTTGTACGTTTTGATTATCAAAAAATTCCGGCAAAATGTACTTATAACCATCAAGTTATTGTTATGGTTTTGAGGTCGTTGAGTTGGGTAAACAACACGTTTGTGCTGGTTTTCCCACGCTTAATACCTCGTTATGGAAGGATTGTGTCTCCCTACTAACGAAACAGAAGATTCATCAGTAAATAAAATGTTTTTAATAAAATCGGGCTCATCATTAGCCTTCGTTATTAGAGTTTCACAAAACTCCATTCTTCGAATGAAGTCGTCTGGATAAAGCTGCTGCATTTTCGAAAATTTAAAATTCTTGTAACCCTGCTTTTCCACACCTTCATTACAGTAACATTGAACGTGTTAAAACTACGTCGATTGCTGCACAAATTTGTGTAGCCCGGTATTCTCTTTCCACAACTTTTTCTGGTGACACTTATTGAGCGTGACATTTTCTGCAATTTTTAAGGCAATAACAATTTTCAAAATTCCTATCAATGTTATGAACTGAGTGTAGGAGCAGGGAATTGGTCTCCCCTCAAAAAACACAGAAAATAAATCTGCATACTGTGGTCCAGAAGTACCACCATAAAACCATTTTATTATTTGCAACTTTTCTGCGGGCGTATAAGTAAATATTGTTTACATGTTGTTTACAAAAATAGTTTGTCTAACAATAAACCACTGTATAATGACAAATTATTGGTGACAGGGCAACGTAGGTTCGTGGAAAGTCGACGGCGCGCAGTGTTGCCATTTATAGTGTGTAAGATATCTAATTAAAAATTTAACGTACTGTATCAGACAGCTAAGTGCATCAAACATTATAAGAGCATTGGTAAGTTTTTGTCTAGAATAAAGCTTAGGGCCTTAATTATGTCAAATAGTTCTTCTGTAAAAATACTTGTCTCAGGAGACAATTATTGATAGATGTAATATTCCTGTGATGTCAAAAAGCATCAATTTATGGTCTTGGTGGCGTCCGTGTATATAAGATGGTAATTTTTTTGTATTGTGTGAATACATAAAGAAAGTGAGTTTTAAAAAAATCAATGATCAATTTTTATTATACCGAGTAATTATAATTAATTAAGGACACAATCCTATCCCTCAGCAGGAGGTATGTCCTTAGAATCATTGTATGCTCGAATAACCAAGCCAAACGAATACTAACTACTGCACGCCAAAACGCTGATAAAGAGTAGTTCCTATTGTATGGCTGGTAACCCCCGAAGTACCTCGTCTGACATGCTCGGCAAAATTCTCTCAAATTCCTCTTGTGCGCTCCTTACATACCTATCGTTCACACAGACACGCCATCTTCTGAACCCCAGCTTCATAGTGGTCCACTACTTCTTCACCATCATCATTCTTCACGTGGTTACATCTCCATTACTCCGGAAAAAAAATAAAAAAGGAGTACCCCTTCCTTGAAGAGGCGCTAAGATTAAACAAGGTAAAAACTCTGGATCCAATTATACCAAGTGGTAAATCGTCAAACGGGCCATAGGAAGCTAAATGGGAAATTCTAAATTATTTTACATCAAAAAGTATAAGAAACTATTTGTAGAGCACTGAAATCTGTATTAAAAACAAATGTTAAAATTGTTCTACGAATTAAGCTTACTCCAAAATTTTGCAAAAATATAATATATTTTTCAGACCCCTTAAAGTCAGGCCACACGCGGATCAAGAATGTGTATGACATGTTGCGTTTGGTCATATTGATGATTCTGATATTTGACAATATTTTAATTGTCAATATTTTTATTTTATGATTAAATTAAAAACAGCAAATTTTCACAAATATTACTACTACTAGTGAACAATAAATAGTACTTTGTAAATAATAAATTATATTGTTTACAAAGCAATAAAGATGATGAAATGTTATATTATACTCATACATTATGACATTATACAAATATAACATTATACAAATGTTATATCAGGCAATAGTGCGAACACAGCCAGATTTTTATTTAACGTAAAATATTATAATACATTCCAATTCAATTCCAGGTTACACAACAATTTAAAGAATGTCAATCTAGTTTTACTGCGATCCTTTATAAAAATAATTTATGATAATTTCCAAACATAAAACTATAACAAATGTTCAAACAATAAGCCATTTTGTACTAGGCAATATACTTAACAGTCGATTGTAAAATTCTCGTCTAACGTTAGCCAGAACGCGTGGCGTTATATTTGCACACTCTTCAATAATTCGAATTTTTAATGCTTTAATATCTGTAAATTTTTGGTCAGAATAGATTTTTGATTTTAGATCCTCCAGATAAAATATACTCCTTTGGAGCTAGATCACCCGATCTCGGGGGTCACTTAATATTAGTCATGTCCACTCAAACAATTATTAAAGCTGTTTTTAAGAAATTCCTTAACCTCACAATTATTGTGCGCAGGGCATCAATTCATTTAAAACCAAATTTCTTTATCATCTGGAGCTTTTCTGCAAGTTTGTATAAAATCTCTTCTTGTAGTAAGTCTAAAAACTTTTTGAATTTAAATTTTCCTTATAGAAAAATGGTCCAATAATATTGTGTCTAAATATTCCTAACCAGACATTTACTTTTCGAGGATATTGAGTATGGCTTTCAATAATATCCTCAGGTTTTCTTGTCGATCAAGACCTATAATTTTGAACATTTGGTTCATTATTAAATGTAAATGTACTTACATTAATCATTAAACAAAATGTTTCTTCTAAACATAATAGACACAATCGAAGCCAAAAGACTTAACTGGTATGGACACCTTCAAAAAATGCCGCAAAACAGATGGCCAAAAAAAAAATAGAAGAATGGACTCCGCCAACTAGAAGAAAACGAGGTAGACCAAGACGATCCTGGAGAGACGATGTCGACGATGCAATGACCGCCAGAGATCTAACGACTGAAGATTGCTTCGACAGAAAACGCTGGAAATTAGGATGCGAAAAGCGGCGCCAGCTGTAGAAGACTCGCTTGTTATATATATATATATATATATATATATATATATATATATATATATATATATATACATATATTTAAAAAATATTCAATAGTTGAATAGCAGAGGTTGTATCGGTCAATAATAGGCAAATGAAAGTCGTCAACTACTTCATTGATTTAATCGAATACGTTTCGCTTTTTAGTTTTCAAAAGCATCATCAGTTCACTACAAATAAAAATAAAACGATGTAAAAAATAAGTAAATAACCAAAAGGGTTCATACTTACAAAAACAATTTGTAGGTTTTGTAAAAGATGTTAAACACACTCTACGATAACTTAACATTAAAAGATTTTCAAAACTAAACGATAGAATCGAAACAAAAAACACACAGGAAAAAACTGAAACGGCACTATTGTTTATTTAATTTTTACCGATGGCTTCATCTCAATGTGGGTGTAAGCTCTTTCGAAGACCCAACACAATAATCTCTTGGAATGTTATCTATCGGTTTTAGGCTGTCACATTTGCACATGTGGCATGTGTCGTCCATACGTTTCTTCGGAAAACAGTGAGGTACAATTATTAAAAAAGTTAGTAAGCAGAACGGGGACAGCCCTATTTTTCAAAAAGGAATATTTTATTCTACAAAAAAAAATATTTTGAAAATAGGGAAAGAAGAAGGGGAATGAAGTTACTATCTTGTAAGTGTTTTTTATTTAATTATTATTTGTTGTGTATGATGAGAGAGTGATATATCTGGCTCAAGTTGTCGATGTCGGTTCTTTTATTTAGGGATGATGGATGTTTAAGAATTTGACACATTTCAAGGATAGAACGCTTATGATAATTTTTTTGTTTGCACAGTATTTTAGTATTAGTGAAGTCGATACTGTGTTTGGTTGAAATGGCATGTTGTGCAAGGGCACAGGATGGTTTTGAAATCCTAATGTCGCTTTTATGGGACGTTAGTCGACCTTGAAGAGAACGGCT